TAATCCCCTCCTCGCCCTGCTGGCCACGCACCTCTTGCTGCAGCCCAGGACACGATTGGCTTTCGGGGCTGCAAGTGCCCCTGACGGCTCATGCTGAGCTTCTCGTCCACCAGCACCCCAAGTCCTTTTCTCCAGGGCTGCTCTCAAGCCAGTCCCTGCCCAGCCTGTGTCAGAAGGCACCAAATTCTCCTCCTACCCCGCTAAATAGATCCTCAGCATGGCAGATTTACCAAGATTACTACGTGGGTCACCAAAAAACAAGGAGAGATCATCTCACCATCAAGGGTTTTAATAGAACTGAGAGCAAAGGTTTCTTCTTTCTCAAAGTCATCTCCCACTTCTTCCCACGCGGCTGCAAAGTTTGGCTTTAAAACCTTCTGAATGTGATCGGACACAGTCACCTCCAAATCTTCCAACTGACAGAAGAGCAAGAGAGATATTCAGCTGCCAGTTACAGAAACGATCCTAATCTTAGGTTTTTTTTGAGACAGCGGCATTTTGCCAAGACAATTCTGGCATGCCTGCGTTTAATTTCAGGAGAAGCATATAATAATAGCATTTAAAAGCAGAAAGGAAAAAATGGTATTTATGGTGTTCACCTCTAAAGCTTAAAAAACAGACAAAACCATCTGTGAGACTAAAGGAGAACAGAAAAATGGGTCAATCACTTTGGTCAAAGCCCATCTGAGCCCTTTCTGGGCACCTGGCGAGAGAGGGACTCTCTCAGAATCCAGAAGGAGCCTTTACTTCCTCCAAGGCCAAAAGATGGGCACTTTCCTGAGATCCCACTTGAGTTTCCGAGATTGACGCCATGAACACAACAAATAGAAATGCAAGTGCTTGGGCTGGAAAGATTGGCCACAGTTCTGAAAACAGACAATGGAAGTTACTCCTTCCCTCCTGTCTGTCCCCACAAAACTATCTCCACAAGGCACTAAAGGTGAGCCAAGTTTTGGCAGAAAGTTTTGGGGAATTATGTGAAGTTACAAGCTACAGTATTTTGGAAACAGTGTTTCAGGCAGGCCTGTTGTTCTCTCTGCTGCTGGCTTCAGATCTGAAAGGAAACTGTCAACTCAATGGCCACGTGTACTTGGAATGAGTCACAACAAAACAAAACCGAGAAAGAAACCAAAACCAGTAACTGAACTTACCACATATTCATCATCATAGCCGTCTTCTTCTGGCACCCCCGTGTTTGGGTCACAGTCTCGAACTGTGAACTTCATTGTGCAACTGAAAGTACAAGCAACTAGGGAGGAGAGAAAAAGCCTGAATAGGTTGGTGCTGTCATTTCTTCTGCTTGAATTCTCGCTTCCCAAAAAAAGAGACCACAAAGAATGTACATCAGCTTTGCCCCAGAAGATATAGATGTGGCCCATGGTCAGAGCACTTAAAATTTCATATAAAATTTCTCTCCAGATTTTAGGATGAAGGCTGAGGGAGGATCCCAGAAGAGGAGTATGCCGGGGCCATAATGTAACAAGCACCGACTCGCTGCGTGTTGTGCTGAAATCCAGTCAGCGTTAGCTATACCAGCAAAAATTCTGCAAGGGTGTCTGACAAGGGGAATACGATTCAAAACCACAGTTCAGGGAATTAAGTTCTAATTAAAGTTAGTTCTAATTTTCCCTGATAATAAAGCATTCACTAAGAAATCCCCCCTCCACTGCTGAGCTGAGTCATGTTAAGCCAACTGCAAATTCAACAGTTTAAATGTGAATAATAAAAGAAAGGCAAGTTTTATGCCCCCCCCCAAATCTCATTCCTACATTTCATAGTTGTTTCTAATTCTCTAAAGAGAGGAAAAAATGTACTAGTCAAATATGTGGAGGCCCAAACTACTGGTTGTGGGGTTTTTTTTCCCCCTCTCTTTGCATTTTCCTGTTACCGATTCTGCTTTTGAACAGTACCAAACATCCCTGTTTACAAATGTTCTCCTTTCATTGATTCAAGGTAGAAAATTCACTTTCCTGTTACCTAAATGCTCTCTGGTCCTCTTTAACATCTCATTTTTATTAATCCAATACCAGTGATTTATTTTGAAAAAAAACCCAACAGGTTCTACGTAAAAACCAACGCGTGTGACACACAAGAAAGAAACTGTGCTAGAATCTCCGCATTCACTCAGCAAATCCCACACCCTGAACATTTTATGATGAGGTGTTCTCTGAAAACTTGATCTGAGGGATCTGCTGGGCAGAACTACTCCCTCCCAACAGGTACCTGCAGCGGGGTCATCCTGAGGAATCTGGACAAGGGTGTAACACATGCCCGGCTGGTTGTAAGCCAGGCTGGGCGCTGGGATGCAGCAGATGACATCGTAAGCATCCGACGGCTCCATCTGCACAGTGACTCTCTCTAAGAGCTGATCATTTAACGTGTTTGTGCAATCAAACTGCAAAAGAATAAATGGAAAAGGACTTGAGTGTAGAAGAAACATTTCCAAGCAAGATTTTTTTTTCCCCGTGTCAGCTACAACACTCCACAGCACACAGCGGACAGCCCACATCTTTATCAAGCCTGCTGTTCTCTCTAAACAGTTTTTCTCTCCAATTTTACTAGAATTCTTTCTTTAATCGACGGGCTCATAACCCCTGTCCTTTTTTGATCCTTGAGGCAAGCAGCACACACCCTCCTAAACTCTACCTCACAACTCCCTTAAGAGCAAAGCTATCCTCGAGGGTGCAGCAGAAACACCATTTATGCTGCACCCAGGCACCATCGAGGGGCAACTCTTATTGCACCCTGGCAAAACCATGTGACTTTTCTTACCTGGAACACCATGTGATTTGTGAACACGTGTTTGGTACAACGAACAAAATACTCAGTTTCCGCTTCTGTGAGCTGCACTGGTTCCGAAGACTTGAATAACGGGCCCAAGCTCTTAAACTCTGGAATGGCTGCGAGTTGTTCTGCACGGAAAGGGAAGGATGACAGATACTTAGCGAAAGGCTCATTCGTTGCTCCCAACTGTCCTGCGGCAAATCCTCCCAACACTTCAAACTCTGGAGACCCTTCTCTCATACCTTGAAATATATCCTGGCGAGAAGGAGCAACTTTCTCAGGCTTGCTGGTCACTAGGGCAATCTCTGCGAAGCAAAAAACAAAGACATTGTGCTGTCAGCTACACCACCGGGAGTTTTAAACGCAGTTATATCTCCACTAGAAGTTCCCTTCTGCTGCAAACCATTGGCACTCTGGCTCCTCAAACACACCAAGGTATCTTTTCTGCTAGGCCATGTTGGATTGTAAGGAAAGAATAAGAGAGATGTTTAACTAATGATGAAGAAACCATGATTTAGTCCAGAATAGTCAGGAAAAAAAAATTAAAAAGTTAGAAGAAGAAGAGGGAGGGGGAAAAAAAAAACAACAAACCACCAGATTTTTTTCTTAATAGGTTGTGCAATCCTCAAACACACCAAGGTATCTTTTCTGCTAGGCCATGTTGGATTGTAAGGAAAGAATAAGAGAGATGTTTAACTAATGATGAAGAAACCATGATTTAGTCCAGAATAGTCAGGAAAAAAAAATTAAAAAGTTAGAAGAAGAAGAGGGAGGAAAAAAAAAAACAAAAACACCACACCAGACTTTTTTCTTAATAAGTTGTGCAAGATCACAGAAGAAGAACAGTGAAGCGACCAAGCGCTTCTGCAATGTACTTTTTTCAAACCTCTGTGAACTAATAAAATCTGATTATGTACAAACTTCTCTCTCTGATACCAAGATTAGCAGAACAAATAACGGCTTTCAGGCCAACCCGTGTTTCTTTATCTGTGAAGATCAGGCAGGATTGCTTCTGCAAAGCCAGCAACACCGTAACCGAGCCACCTCCGGTGTCAGCCTGACCCTAGTAGAACGGCAGCTGCTTTACAGATGTCAAACATCACTGTGGCAACCTGAACACCTACAGCTTTACCTGCAGCCGGCTGAAATGAAACCCCAGCGTTACCTGCTTTCTGCTCAAAGATCGGTGCAGTAGCCAGCGGAACTGTTTTCATATCGAAAGGCTTGTCAGAAGGCTCCAGTGTGTATTGGTGCAGGGCTTTCTCCATCCCAGGAACAGAGACTGTCAAGCCTGCGAAAGCAGAAGCACAAGCAGGAAAAATTCCATTTTAACAGCAGGAACTGTCAGAGGGCTAAAGGCGTTACGATAAATGTTCACAAACAGCGTGAATTTTGAATTGCCCACTGCACCAAAAGCAGTAAAAGTCTGAAAAAATCCCTCTCACGTCTCTGTTATCTCCCTCTTGAGATGTAAACAAGGAAAATCACTTGAAGAGCTCTTCTCTGTAGCCTGTCCATTGGTTCAGGGTGCAGAGAAAAACCTCTTGTGAGGCTGGACTTGATGATCTCAGAAGTCTTCTCCAGCCTCAACAATTCTGTGTGATTCTGAGGAATCTGGAGTTTACAGCTAGATGGATACAGTTTGGAATTTGGCTACTAAAAAACTGGTAAAAACACTTTAATTTCTCACTAACACAAACACATAGGCTAAGTACTTCAAAATGGCGGAGAGAATTAAAACCAACCAAACAAAAACCCCCGCTGCTCTGAGGATGACACAGGATGTTGCATTCCAGAGGGTACTGCAGTCTCAACAGTTCACTTAAGTCCTTAAATGTGTTAAATACTCTGCTTGCATGAACTTCCAGCTACAGACCTGAAAACACTTTCATGCCCAACCCTGGCACCAAAACGTTTCATCTTCATTTTGTAACGAAGAAGACAGAGCAAGAGTTAAGAAAATTATCCCAAGTGAAGGAAGAGACAGTGATGGGAAAAACCCAACCCATATGCCTGCTCCATTTCCTAGACAATCCTTCCCATATTTCACCAAACCTTCCGCTGTCATCTAGCAAAAGTACTTCAGAGGAAAGCTCATGGGCAAGGAAAAAACACCCCCAAAAATCTCCAAACACACAGTTCTGCCCTTTCTAGTTATTCTGATCCATGTTACGTTCTAGAGAATTATTCCTACAGCAACGAAGCCCACCCGTGACACAGAACGTGAAACAACAGCTCGCGCTTCTCTCTGTCACCCACCGTTAAAAATGTAGGCAGCGTTCAGCGCTACCTGTCTCTGCTGCAGAACATTCAAGTAGAACGTGGCTCTGTCCCGAACTTCGTCATCGCTGTCCATCATGCACCTGGCTCGGGGGAACAAGAGTGTAATAGAAGACATATAGAATTTGTTCAT